TCAACTAAAAGCACCGCAGAAGGAGCATGATGATGATGAGAAAATAGAGTTTAGACCTGTTTGAAGGATGGATCTCTCGTTTTGAATGACAGATTATCATTGTGTCGTATTTATGAATATTAAGAGGTATGTAGCTGTTGCAGTTAAAGATGGCATCATAGTAAACTGAATATTTAAGCGAGTGCAATGAATTGGTAACTAAATCGTTTGTTGTCTTAAAAATGATAGATGCGGCAATTTGTAACCCTTTTGTTATGTTGCTAGGTCTGGAGTTTTTCAATTTACTGAAATATAGATACTAAAAAAATCATTTGTGGATTCAATCGAGTCCAAGTAAATTTATCGCTAACCTCCAGATGCTACGTCTTCCAATTCGCGCTTTGACGGTGCGCAAACAGCATGGTTTTTCGTCGGCTGACCGACTGCGCAAGCTATTCTCCACGGGAGGCAACGTACTTCTTACTAAGGAGGAATTGGTGCTACCCAACCATATCAAATTTCGCATGCCTGATTTGGATTTTAAGGTGCGCTACAGCCATACCCTCGACGATTGATTGTTGTTTCGGAAACAAATTGTGATCGCAGGAAGTCGGCAATAGTGCAGGTGCAACGACGCTCACGAAATGGTACGTACAGGAAGGCACGGCCGTGAAAGATGGCACGCACATGTGCGAGGTACGACGCTGCAACTGAACAAGGTAGTATGAGGTTTAAAGCATAACCTTCTGATACATATGGAGATGTATAGATTGACACGCCAGATTTGTCGGTCCAACTTGAGTCTGGAGACAAGGGATTTATTGCACGATTGCGTAAGTAGCATCGCCTTCAGGGTCGATATTCAAGTATTGTTATTAATGATGTTGACTGGTCCCAGTGGTTAATGAAGGAGCTAAGAATGTTGCTCCGGGCCAACCGTTGGCCATCATTGTACCCACGGCGGAGGACATCGAGCCATTTGCAAAGTTTTTGGCTGAAAATCCGCATTGCATCGAAGGTTCGCAAGGAAAAGCATATCCAACGACCATTTTGTTACTTTTACTCAATGATCATGTTTATTGTGTAATTGTTAGGGAATGCCAAGATGAAGAGTACGGCTAAATTAATGGGACTTGATAGCTCGCTGACATCTTCTACTGCTACACCCACAAAATGCGCCGCATCAAGTGATGTCTTGCGAATGCTGAATAAATTGCACAAGGAGGGTTTTTTTGGCGATGAAAAGTCGCTGAAGGTACTAAAGTCGATGGCTCGCAAGAACGATGAACAGCTTCTTACAACATATAAAGCCAGCTACGAAGATGGTGTGATGGAAGAAGCGGCATTTGATAAGATGTTTTTTGTTGAAAATGCATTGGAGCTCGCCGAAGAATCCACAGCTTATCATGATGCAACTTAATCGAGGAGCTTGTAACAAAAATTTTAAATGAAGCTTAAAGACCTATAAAGAAAACAGGTCTGTATTTAACGCTTAGACTTCACCTATCACGACAACTTCAGCGCGCTTTGTGGCAATCTTCGGCCCTTGCGTCCCAGTATATCCATTGTCGTCGACGTGGACTGTTAGATAGTCGTGCAGCAAGCTAGAACAGCCAGTGCTGTCGTCGCACATATATTCTAGAGTCACAAATATCTGTTTTGCTTGCATCAGAGTAGTTGCAAAATTAAGCTCTTGTGAAAAGTCTAGCAGGCTGAGTTGTGTTGGTCCTCCTGGGGATACCAAAACTCGAAGCTTGCCATTGTGAACTGCTATGCTAACATAGATCAAACCATTTCCCGAATCTCGATCAAAAATCTCGATGCCTGAGAGGGAGACCCAATTATTCATTGGAACGTAGAAAGTCGAAGCCATAGAAATTGTAGGGGGGGCATTAATTGAGAGACGCTCAGCCTGCATATTGCTTAAAAACTCGTTTTCTAGATCAATTGTGCCCGTGTCGTCAACAATGTCTGCCGGTGACAGAGTTTGGGCTCGGGAAATATCGCTTTTGGGGTTAACTTCAACGCATAGTACATAAGTCGCGCTTAGTGAACCTCCTTCTCCAAAGTTTCCCAAATCTGATATTTCTACCACCACGAAAGCAAGTCCATTGTAATTATCCATCCTTCGCAAGACAAGCCGACTCATTACACCAATGTTAAGAGACGCTACTTTCCCGTGCACTATGAGCTGGATACCGTCAACATTGCTTGAATTTTGAGTTACCACAATAAGATCATCGCTATCAATCTCAGTACGCTGAGTTAGTAGTTCCCTAGATATTGAGCAATGATAACATGAGATATTGACAAGAAGTCGAAGATTTCTACCGACATCATCATCGGGGTCGTAGATCTCGCTTGACTCTATCCGCTGTGAAATTCCTTCAGAGGCCAAAATCGGAGATTGCCACGATGTTGTGTCAAGAGAATCTAACGCTCCAATAAGTTCGAAATGGTGCGAAATCAGTTTCGGCGGATCATTGACTGCTAGTACAGCGATTGGAATCGTCATGCGGTTTGCAGTCGTCTCTTTCAAGTTGCCACAAAAACTTGTTGCCTCCAGCACTATTTCGTCCATCGGCCAGCCATCAGAATTGTAGTCGAGCCAAGGATTAAAGACCATTTCTTTCAAAGCAGCGTTAATATCACCAACTTGGCCACGAAAAATTAGCTCTTTATAAAAGAAACGTGATTTAAAAAAAGTGTCGCCTGGAGGAGCGTGTAAAGCGACCAACTGTTCCTCAGAAGTGCTGAACAAAGTGTGCTGAATAAGCAGACCTTCTGTCACTGATAACATCACGCCGCCATGCGCGACTCGGATAGTCACCTCAACTTGACGATCGTCATCTCGATCGGGGTTTACTAGAAACGTTGAATTGATTGGTAAGTATCCGTCTTCTTTCATTATCAATGGAAAGTCAGTACGAGCTTCCCAATAGGGCTCGTCGCAAACAGGAGTGACATACAAGTAAATTGACAAATCTATTTTTTTTTTCGGCCCTTCAACAAGAGCATTTTCCAGCAACGACAAAGAAAGTTCATCTGAGCCATACCGGTTTACCCTGGGGATATAGGAGCTTCCATTTAAGGCAGCATTTAATTGGGTAAAAGAGCCCCGAAGCACGACTTTACCGTCCGAATCATTTTGCAAAATTTGGACCCCAATTCTTGTGCTTTCTAGAGCAAAATGGCCATTATTGCTAGTGATCGTTAGTTCGAGAAGTTCAAAATATGATCGCGACGAGCCAGGGTTGTCAAGCCTCAGGTTTCCATTAAATACAATAGCTGTATCCTCTTTTAGAGTGAGCACGTGATCTGGCGCAACGAGTAAATATTCAGAGTGAGACCAGGAGAGGAGGTTGAATAAAATCGTCGTTGTGCTAATTTGAGGTCCACCATAACCAGAAGCACCTCTATCGTCAACAGTCAATCGTAGTTTAGCATCAATTGAGCCACCAGCACGCTTGTATTGCGCTGTAGCGAGTTCAAATGTAGCTCGTGATAGTAACGTATTTAACTCATGAGTAGTACCAGAAAGAACAATGTATGTTGTTTTTGATTGGTTCTGAGATCGAAAGTTTGATTGATCTGATACTACCACAAAGCCATCGCTGGCCTCAATTTGTAGATCCAGCTCACATGATTCAATCGTGCAGTTCATATTATCAATATCGACGTCATGAAATGATATCCCTGAAATGCTGATTGCTTGATTTCGATAAATTTTACGAGTGGTCGATGAGCCGATATTCCATACAGGTGCATCATTGATTGCACTGACTAGAATGACGACAGAGATAAATGATGACGGAGTTTGCTGCTGGGTGTACTCATCGATAGCAACGGCAGTTACTCCCAGCGAATCTTGGCCGAAAAAGTCTTTGTCTGGAAGATAGCGCAGAGCATTTATGCATGCGTTGATGCAAGCAAATGTGCCCTTGATCTTCAGTGTTTTGTAGTCAGTAGTTTGCTCGAAAAAGGTTAAACCACGAACTTGTAATAATGAAAGAATGCCTTGAGTCACCGATATCGAAACAAGTAAAGTTACTTGTGAGGTATCATCTGCACTTGAAAACGCTAGACCTTTGACTTCAATCCAGGTATCCTCGTCTCCACGCAGTATTCCCGGTCGACTTTCAGCATATGGAACATTTATGAGGACTGGATCAGGCTTTGGGTTAACGTAAACATATATAACCGATAAGCTTGACCCATTAAATGATGACGAGTCAGAAGAATTAATAGTTATCATATCAAATCCATTCAAGTCGAGTTTTCCACCGTCCGGTAGATACTGCAAACTATTCCAATCTTTTGCTGAAGTGTAAATGACAGAGGTAATGGCGGTATCAAGGTTCCTCAGCGTTCCTTCGAGTGTCAATCGAAAGGCAACTTTACCGACACTTTCTTTTGCTTCAGCGGTCACTTGTACTCCATTTTGCCTCAATAAGGCAAGCTGTCCATATTTGGTCTCCAAAATTACACGAAGACTGTTATTGAGAGCGTCAGGGTCACGAAGGTGAAAGCCATCGATCACGAGAGAAACATCTTCATCTGCTTCATAATAGCTTGAGTCGACGGCAATATATGGTGCATCATTTATTTCGTGCACAATGATTGGAACTATCACTTCGTCGAATATTTCATCATGATTTGACAAATGAATTTTTAGCTGGTCAGTACCACTAAAGTCAGGCTCACCAACATATACAATTCTCGCGAGCATCTTATTCACACAATCAACATTGGCTGTGAATGATATCTGTTTTGATGCCTGGACTCCTTCAAACCTATTCATGCAGGTTGATCTCAAATTGTCGCCAAGTGAGAGCACTCCTTGAGAAACAGTAATTTTTATGGTATTCAATCTTTCACTTGATGCTTGATGTACTGTACCGCCACTTTGCACTTGAAATCCACCAAGTTTTACTGGACTGTCCTCGTCGCACTCGAGAGGCAAACATTCAGTCTTGATGAATGACAAGAAGTCATCCATAGAACAAGATGAATCCGCGAAAGCATGAGAGATTAGAATTTTAGGAGTATTCGCCTTCGACATGATGACCAGGTCTGCGAATGACTCGACTGAATTGTTACGAAAAGATACGGCAAATTTCCAATCTACAATATGTCCTCCAGGATATTGCTCCTCGTTACACTTTTTAGCAGTAAAGTATACAAGACAACTTAAATTGCGATTCAACTCAGTTACTGTCCCCTCCAGTTTCAGATGTTGAGCTCCACTCAGAGCTTCATGTCCATGTAGACTGCCTGAACAGATGAGGTATATAGCTCCACAACTTACTCGAATATCTAATGTATATAGACGGTTATCAGCCATATAAGATCGAGGATTCACAGACCTTGGAAATGCGTGGTGTGAGGTTAGGTTCCACGCTTGTAATTGATTTTGTTCATCAGCGGAACTGAAGGTGTAGCGAGCTGACGCACTGTCAAGAAATTGAAGAGCGAGATCAGGAAACTGAAAAGCGGAGTCTTCGGTGGCGTAGTTCAAACTTGCACGGACATTCACTCGAGGAATAGGGACGTCGTCAAGCTGATCTAGTGTCTGCTGTGACAATACAAAAGCTGGTTTGACGTGGTTTCTAATCTGCTGGGAGCTTGAAATTTGAGCATTGACACATCTACTGCATTCGTTCCTCAATTCTTTTTCTATTGCGGTAATTCTGCTAAAACTTTTCTCAACAGCTCCTGCTATAAATGTACGGTGAGTCATTTCAGCCAGCTGCCACACAGGCGCGAAAAACGTATCAATGGCTCGAGTATTCAGTAAATTCTGATCGCGATAATCGTCCCTCACGACAAGCTGGCCGAAGTCATCACTTATGTGATTGTCCAATACATTCCAGCTGTCTTCATAATTCGCCAGCGGATAGCTGCTTGGAATATCAAGTCGTTTTCGAAAGGGTTGAAGATTTTTAGAAACATTGACTGGGCGCAGCATAGGATAGTATTTAGATGGACTTCTCATGAAATCGGCGACATTATATAAAGTATGAGGAGAAATTGTCACCTTCAACGTATTCACCACCCGAAAAACATTAATGCTTTGAACTTGTAATAAACTCAGGGCCAGTTTTAGCGCTGATGGTTTTCCAATCATGTCAACTTCATTGTTGCTATTGGTATCGAGAATATTCACACAGCAAACAGCGGATGGGACAAACAATTGCCCATTTGTAATACGTACATTCAATCTAAACCACAATGTGTCAACCATTTCTCCACCTAAAGCGACGAGATCTCCAATCGGCTGAACTTTGTCACCATCTACTTGAATGTCAAGAGTTACATTCTGTGGCTCCGGCGAAAACACTGAGGGTTGCAGCACTGTGCGAAATTGCAACTTAATTGAGGTTTCATTGCTAAAACTTTTCTGGGCCGATTTGACTGCAGTTATCTGTAACTCAAAGCGACGTTCTCGTGCATCACGCGTTGCTCTAATGACCGTTGAGCTCAACAGCAAATTCACTTCAGATTGCTCTACAGTCAAAGTTACAGCAGGCTTACTAGACCCACATGGAATTCCTGTCATCGTCGATCTCACTCGCGGAATAAATATCGTTGCCTCTCCATGCGTGCAATACAACGTAATGGTCAGATTGAGGAATGGAAATTCCTCGAAACCTTTGAGCTTGACTCCATTTAAGTTTGCAGTATATTCAGGAGATTGTAAAAGAACTAAATTCTGTCGTGCCTCCCACCAAATACGTGAGGGCTCACTCACGTATGAAATAGAAATATTAGCATTTTCACGCCAGAACTGTTCTTCCGTAAGAATGTCAGAAGAGGCTGGTGTCACCTCGAAAAAGTATGCTTCGGCGTTAAAAGTGCTGCTAGCAGTGACAGTAAGCTCGAGCGTTTTCAGAACTCTGTTCAGCGCATCACTTGGTCCAATTAATTTAAGCTTACAGCTTGGAGTCTGAGCAAATTCATACGATACTCTTGGAACAAACGTTTCGTACTTCCAAGCGCAAGTCAAACAAGAAACTTCAAGCTGTACTAATTCCGTGCTTGAGTCAGCTCGAACGCTTCTTACTCGATCCGCGACGATCGATACATCCACAAGCGACGACAAATGAACGTAGACTCCTAGCTTAGGCAGCCAAGGTTTATCATTGACTGCCTTCACGGATATAAACTTCTTAGATGAAACTTTAGGGGTAACCTTTACGATAACGCTTTCGTTCGCTAAAAGCTGCATGAAGTCATTAAGTAGCTCGAGCTGAATCAAAATAGGATCATTCGAATTGTAGACACTTTGCAATTGAAGTGTTGCCAGTGCATCATTCAAGCAGTCAGTATTCAGTGCATGTACGCTTTGCGTTCTGATCAATGACGACCAATGCAATTTTTTAAGGGGAGGTGAGTCGGCGCAAGTAGGTATACCAACTTTAATCGAACCGGATGACACATTAACACGTAAGATGAGGTTTGAAAATGTCGCATCAGAATTTTGATGTATTGTGAAAACATCGTAAAGATCTACAATTTCCCCTGCAGAAACACTTATGGTTCCATTTCGATCTGACACGATAATTTGGTAAACATGTTCTTGTTGAGGTAGATACAGTTGTTGACAAGTGTTAATGGTCCCATCATTAGCGCATGCTTTAATCGACATTGAGCAAAAAACGCGCCTTAACCCTTCTATCGAGCAATCGTTCGGAATTACTTCAATAATGCGCTGATGAAAAAACACATTAAGCGTGGCCAAACTTGAGCTCAGCCGTAGCGATGATTTTGATGAACCTGATTTAATCGACACACCATCCAATGCATGAGGTAACGATTCGTCAAGGATTAACGATCCATTGTCAATATGAATATCGAATTCAAGAAAATGATTGTCTGGATCTTCTAGGTGAATTGTTGGAATGAGCTTTCGAAAAAAATTAAACCAATTCTTCAGCTCGTTTTGATCAAACGCGAGCTCTGGCCGATCATTTTCGGCTTGTAAATGTATGTACAGGATAAATTCGCGGTTCCTTGCTTTAAATAGAATTTCATCGATCCCATTGAAGTTCAGGTCCGGAATATAGTGCAAGTTTGACATGACTGATCGTAGGAAACGCTTGTTAGAGCATTCAATCTGTAAATTATTACTCGCTTCAAAAAATGAAATATCTGCTTTTGCGTAAACAACACCGTTTTGCACACTGATATTTACAATATCATTATTTGAAAGATACGTGAACCAGTCTAAGTTTATTTCACTGCCGATCAGCACGTCAGTGTCCTCAGTGCTCTCGATACTTTCCCGCATCAGCATATTTGAGCTCCAAAAATTATCAACAAATCTCAGCTGAAGAGTTGCTGAGGTTAAAACGATAGCCAAATCATTATATGAAGCTGATTCGCGTTCTAAGCGAACTTCGACGCTTGCAGATTCTAAAATCGAGGTCACTTGAGTCATTTCGAATTGAATTTCGACAGATCTAAGCGCCGAAGTCAACTCTCGAATATTTCCCGCTAGCTCGACAGCACAGCATTGGTGATGCTGATCGTTATTCAGCCCTGTCACTAAACGTGATTTTATTGTAAGCGCAGATGTATCAGCTTGAACGATCATACGAAACATTTCATTGTCGTGACAATATCCCTCTTTAAGTCCCTCACGAACGAGCAGAATTTCTGGCAAAAAAAAAGTTGCGAACGTAAAGCAAGTTTGCGAATTTAAGTTTGTTCCGGTATCAGCCCATAACAATTGAGGTGCCTCACATATAGGAGCGACAAACACAGGCAACGTCTCTGTACTGTCCACCACTGACCCGTTCTGAATTGTATATTCGACAACAAGCACTACTTGGTCGAACCCGTAATAATTTGGATCTGGAGCATAGCTTTGCTGTCGAAGAAAACTATTAGCCTCAGCCACGCTTCCAAGAAACTGAACTGAAGCCAGCGATGTTTCTTGATTTTTGTGCAAAAATGGCTCTGAGTGGTTTGAAAAATAACCGTGCTCCGTAAAAAGTGACAGGCGAAGTGTGAAGTTGCACATTGAGGTTTTGAACTCGGCAACACCTACTGGTGATTCGTTACAGTGCCTCAAATGAGTCGCACCACCATCGACTTGGAGCGACAGGTCCTTGAGTGTTGCTGACTTATTCATTGTTGTTGTGATCAATAAATCGGAGCCTATAGATGTTAAAGTAGTCAAAAATTGGATACTAAAGCATTCTAACATTCGAATACATACCGACAGCTTTGCGATTAAAAAGTACTTGAACTGTCAGCGGTCTTGTATTTATCATAACAGAAATAGTTGAATAAGCGACAGGCGAGAGTTTGTCTCCAACTTCATCAGCCCAAAAAGATGTAAAAAGCAAGTGATCCTCTATTAAATCGCCAACAGCAGGGTACCTGTAGCTCAATAACTTCAATACGCCATTTATATCCTCAGCATCACCCTGAAGTTGGATGTTTGAATTATAGCTAGAGTCGTGATCATGTCTGTCATGCACAATCTCCACAAGGCCACTCTGACTTGATATCCTTACAATTGCAAAATGAGGTCTGACGTAGTCATTTTCAATATTTGCTGAGTCCAGTCTTAATCCTGTAACAGGAAAAAATTCACTTTCGAACACTGAGACTGGCGATTCTGGCAAGTGCAATATAGGGGATCTCAGTCGCAAAATTATCTTGATTGGTAAGAATTCTATTGCACGATCGTCATAGGATACAACTGAAAAATTAATCTTATCGAAGCCAACGGCATAAGAGAATGGAGTGTATACGATCTGACTGACTTGAAGCAACCTTTTCAAATCTGAGAAAGAGCCACTGATCGTCAACATTGAGTCCACGAATTTATCCACAGGAAAAAATGGCAATGCGTGCTTGGCCTGCAAGTGAAGATTTCCTTTGGTACATGAAGCGGTGAAATTAAGTTCGTCTGCATAGCCTTGAACGTCAATTATACCAACCGTCATTGTCTGATTCATCTCAACTTGTTGGTTCGTGTCTGAAAGCTGAATGCCTAGTTTTTTTGCCATCCTCGGTATCGATACGTGCAATTTTCCAGAGGAAAACAATTTGGAGTCATCCAAATTTCCCAAATACATCGATATTGTGTCCAGAGCAATCTTAATTTTACTTCCACGGTTGATAAGGATTGCCTTAAATAGCGTACTATCCGCTACCAAACTCAAAGTTAAACGAGTCGGAGCTGACATCACCACAGTATAATCACACCGATTTGCCAAGAAAGCGGAAGCTTTGCGCTGCACGGACACACGTAGCTTGTGAATCTGCAAGTTCTGAATAGCATGCTCGATTCTACTAGCGGTCGCACAAGACGCCAGTGGAATTGTCATTTTGTTTTGAATTAATAACCGAAAGAAGTTGGGCTCACTCGTAATATAATGTTTTGTGCTTTTAATCACAGTCGCATTAAGCAGTTGTGACGTTTGTACGGATGTAAGCGTGCTCGAATATACAGAAAAATCCGGTACATCGTTAAACTCATTCGGAAATGATAGCTCAAGTGCTAAGGATCCCATACTTGATACTTTTGCGCAATAAAATAATTGTGACAAAGCCGGATAAAGTACGTTCAGTTTTAAGTCGGCAGTACGCCAACCCTTTTGCATCACTCCAGCGGAAATTTTACAATAGAGAGATGTCTCGTTATAGATGACCGATATAAGGTCATCAACACTTCCTACCGTTCCAAACGTGATTTGCCACTGAAATCCGTTTTCTTCTGGTAACTCAATGCGAGATACCTCAACACCTTGCACATCAAGTACCAACGCAAGAATTGTAATTTTAATTTCTTCGGCTGTTGATGAAAGTGGAATAATGCCGGATAAAATTCCTCGAAATGAAATTCGAAATGATCCAATCAAATCGTGTACTTGCGCAGGGAACATTGCGTTGACGCGTATAAACTGGATTTCGTGTCGAGATACTCTATCTGATGGATTTGCAGCAACTGCGACACAATTCATCTGTGCAATTTTTTGTGACACAGTTTCCACATCATCATTTGCTCCGATGGTGGTTGATATACAAAATCCTTTGGTAAGATTCAGATCTAGATGAGAGAAGCTGCGTGCTGGCAGATCAAGCCCCAAAACAAAATCGCCCGTTACTAAACCTTCAGTGGAAAGAATACTTATTGTCTGTAAACTATTCGTTTTGGTCAATTCCGTGGCGCGCAATTCGTACGTCTGGTTCTCGTAATTTTTCATAAAGGCAGAAAAATTGTTTTGAACTTCGCTTTCATCAATCCTTATATTTGGTAGAGCAGCAGTCAATTCTACAAGGGTCCCACGTAGCTCAAATTCATGTTCCGATATTTGCCGGGTTGCAATAGCTGAACCACGTAATCTCTTGTCCCACCCAACTAAGCCAAATGCACTTTGAACTTTCAACTTCAAAGCAACGCTACTTATATACGTAGCAGGGTATAAAATCTTTGTTGTTTCCAGTGCGATCTCACTGCTCTCTCGGAGAGCCACCTCAGGCGGATGAAGCAGCTGGATATCTTCCCAAACAGGAGTAGCTATAATGTCAAGCTGAGTTGACAGCTTGTCTGGAGAGTAAATGTCACTATCGCTCGATGCGGATAACGTCACATTTAAGCCGTTATGACTCCACACGCCATTCATAAGAAAGTAGACTGATAACGTTTTTAGCTGAGTCTCAATGACCTCTGCTTCCCCCTGCAAATGAAAGCGTCTCTTTACAACTTGGACTGAAACTGATGAATGTGCTGTAGCGGCTACCTCTTGCAAAAATGTTTGCGCAATGTTCCAGAATAACCAAAAGCGAGACTTTGTATAGCGTATGATTTGCAAATCAGAAACGCTTTCAATGGTACTTGTGATGGCTTGAAATGCTTCAATAATTTCTTGGTTTGAAGACTCTTCATGGAGTAGAGCACTTGTCTGCTGATGACATTTGCCTTTAAGGCTGCAAACGTATCTAGAGAGTCTAAAAGTGATAGCCTCGCCGTTGCTTTGTTCATCAAAAAACCGAATGATTAACCCGCTTGTTGGGACAGACACATTTTGATACGTATTTATTGCATCTGAAGAAATCACATTTGGCTTCCTATACAAAATATTGGTTCCCAAGTCAATACCTATAAGCATTCCATCGCCGTTATTTAATTCAAGCGTGCAATCGACTTTGTCGACTATTCCACGTTTGTATTCCAGGGGCACAGGTGCTATGTGATTCTTCAGGGTGATACTGGTCTCTAACAAGTTGAATTTTCCCAGATCATAGGCTGGTAAAATACGTATGGGCACGATAAGAGATGCAGAGAGAGGTTCTTTACCAACATCACCGCAAAAACCATTGTCCGACAATGTCACTTGTAATGATACAGGTACCGGGATGCTAATTTCTGGCGAGAAGCAATACTCGACAAGAGGTAGGAACATATTTAGATCCGATATTGCACCTTTCAAGATTAATGAGCTGGCAGAAATATCAGAAAATCTCCATGTAATGCGAGGAATTGTGTCGTTTTCAATGAAATAAATCCCGTGCTCCAGCGCTATTTGTCGATTTGCTTCCAACGTTCCATTTGTAACGTCTAGTTGTAATGTGAAGAGAGGGATCACAGCCATGGGATCATTGACAAAAGCTGTAGCTTCAGCATCATTGAGCGTAAATTCTGAAAGGCCAATACAAGCACTGCCAGCCCTTAGGTCTAAGTCATGACCAGATTTTCGTTCAATTGTTGGCGGATCGTTGACGCTTGCTACTGAAATTTTCTTAGTGTGTATACTACCAGCATTCAGCGCACTCTTTGACTCAGGGAAAAGATCCGAGGAGCACGTGTCCACAAGCGAATTAAATGCGTCATTTTGAAACGGTATAAGCTGCATTTGAACTTTTTCATGGCCATCGTTCTCTGTTTGACAAAGAGGATTGGTCGCTCCGAGCCAGGTGCGATGGTAGTTAAGGTCGGGCTGGTAGATTATAGAGGTCAGTATCTGCTGTGCCTCATACGCCGTTGTGACTACCCTAATCGAGCGCTTCTGCGAAGAGTCACCGACAAGATCAGGTAAAAAGATTGTCGTGTCGTTAAGATCTTTTTCTACATTTCGGTCTAGCTTCAATGTTCCATGGCTACACGAAATCTGCAAGACAAAGGGTGGTGATGTCAGATGATCAAGCATGAATTATTGCATCACGATTATTGTACCAGAAGTTGATACAAGTCATGAGTCCATGTCTTAGCTCCGTCGTCATAGAGCAAAACACCCGAAGCTATCGCCAGCTGGACGGATGTCAGCTTTCGTGTCTCGTCCTCCCGAATCTCTTCCAGAGACTCTTCCTACAGATCAACAGCCCCTGAATGTTCGATATCTTCTATACATTTTTCCCAGATACTCACTGTGACAAAATGCAGGTGCTCAGCGCCATTGACACAAACTAATGCTGCCGCCCAGACCGTTAGCAGCCACACGATCTTCATTAGTACAGTCAAACACAGAGTTCAGCGCACACATTCTTTCTTGCGTCTATTTTTAGCAAATTTTGCTTTCGTTTCGCGATTGTGACATGACAATGTTCGTAATCTGTGCTGCTTCGCGGCAAGCTTGTAGCCTCGCCTTGTTCTCAGTAATTTGCCTGAAGCATGCCGCGGCGAACAGCGTGGGGCTTGGAGACAATGATAGTGAAAAGGCGCTTAGCGGCGAGGACATTGCACTGCAGGTAAGTGCTTTGGTGCTGCTGTTGGCGTTGTCAGCCATGTTTGCCGGCTTGGGACTTGGCCTCATGTCTCTCGATCTTATCGGCTTGGAGATCGTCGTAGCTGCGGGTCAAGATGAGCATGCAACAGAAAAGGAACGCATGAATAGTGAGGCAGCCAAAATGGTTATTCCGCTGCGTCGCGATGGAAATTTACTGCTCACGACCTTGCTTCTGGGTAATGTTTCGGTGAATGTGCTCACATCGATCATCACTGCAGACCTTACTAGTGGTAGGTCGAGGTGAAAATTGTGCTAGCCTTACATTGTGCTGAGTCTATCGTATTGCATTCGGTATGCAGGACTTTTCGGATTTGTTGCATCGACGATTCTAATCTTGATCTTCGGAGAGATTATCCCGCAGGCAGTTTGCTCACGATACGCACTAGGTAGGAAGTGCTCGATTTGCTTTCGTATATTACGCTTTTTCACTATAATCGATGTACTTAAGTGATTGGAGGCAAGATGGCCTCGTTTGTTCGCATTTTGATCGTTTTCTTTTACATTTTCGCAAAGCCCGTGAGTCTGGTACTGGATGCAACACTAGGAGAAGACATTGGTACAGTGTTCACGAAAAGGCAGGTACGGGTTTCTCTCTGTTCTTACAGATTGTACTTTGATAAGTTTGTATAAACATCTCGGTCATGCAGCTAGCAGAAATAATCGACATTCACGAAAAGGAGCAAATGATTGACAAGGATGAAAGTAGTATCATTCGTGGTGCTATGACTTTTGGAATCAAGACCGTCCGGACTATCATGACTCCTGTTGATAAACTGTTTATGGCTCCAATGACTGCCATCCTCGACCGAGTTCTCATTCACAGTATATTAGCGAGCGGATTCTCACGCGTACTCGTTTACGGCGCGTCAGTCAATGATATTGTCGGGACAATACACGTAAAGGATCTTATCTTCGTCGATCCAAAGGTGTGTTGGTGTTGCATGAGCTTGGTGCTGCGCTTAACTTCATTCGGTACTTTAGGAAAGTACTTCTTTATCAAGTTTTTTTCAAATTTTTGGGAGAACAACGCGATCGGTAGACCCTAATTGCAGACTAAGCGCGCTACTACGAACTTTTAAATCCGAAAGTTCGCACCTTGTTTTGGTGAAGCAACCTCAGACGATTGATACGGTAAGAGTGAGGCACTAGTCACCATTTTGTACGTCTTTGCTGGCCAAGTTTAAACATCGTACAATTTTAGAGTGAAGAAATGCACACACTGCTGGGCATTGTAACTCTGGAGGATATTCTAGAAGAGATTTTGCTAGCCGAAATTCTTGATGAAGAAGATATTTCTGCTATTCGCAGCCACGACGCGGAGCGTAAACAGTTTCTTCTGCGTCAATTTGATGCATGTGGGCGTCTAGGCCTTGATGATCTGTGCCGGGCTGATGATCCGCTTGAAGATGAGCTGGCTATTGGCCTCATTCAGGAGCTACCGCATGTCGAAATATGTGCAGACTGTTAGCATTAAAGTTAAAGCTACTGGCCCACTGAAGTAATTGTACCACGTGACTTTAGCATATTATACTGTACTTTACAGATTGTTCCTTTTGGTTGCCACCAGCCAATCTTTTAAATTGTGTTCACAATCGCAGTTATGGTCAAGAAGAAGGTAGACGCACGCGTGCGAACACTGCTTGAGAACTGTATCCAGGAGAATTATCGCTCCTTTTTAGTGCTCGTGGGTGACCATGGTAAAGACCAGGTTATGAATCTGCATTACATTTTGTCCAAAGCAGCCGTCAAGGCACGTCCGCGTGTGCTGTGGTGCTACAAGAAAGAATTGGGCTTCTCTACGCACCGTCAGAAGCGCATGCGTCAGATAAAGAAACAGAAGCAGCGCGGCCTGTACGATCCAAGCAAAGACGATCCGTTTGAGCTTTTTATTGCGTCTACTGACATCCGTTGGTGTTACTATAAGGAGACGCACAAAATACTGGGCAGCACTTACGGCATGTGCGTGCTTCAAGACTTTGAGGCTGTCACACCAAACATTATGGCACGCACTATTGAGACTGTTGAGGGAGGTGGCGTTGTTGTGCTACTATTTCGTACGCTGGACAGCCTTAAGCAGCTGTATACTATGAGCATGGACGTTCATGCACGGTTTCGGACCGAGTCGCACCAAGATGTGGTGGCTCGCTTCAACGAGCGCTTTATCTTGTCTTTGGCCTCGTGTGAGCGCTGTGTCGTGCTTGATGACGAGCTCAACGTCTTGCCCATCTCCAAGCATACGCGTAAAATTGAGCCACTACCACCGCGCGACTCGTCTAAGGAACTCACAAAAGACGAGCTCGAGCTACGGGAACTTCAAATATCATTGCGTGAGACTCAGCCTGTTGGTGCTCTCGTTGAGCAGGCGCGAACCCTGGATCAGGCTAAGGCCATACTCGCCTTTGTAGAGGCAGTTTCAGAAAAAACACTACGCTCTACCGTGGCATTGACTGCAGCGCGTGGACGTGGGAAGTCGGCGGCTCTCGGCATGGCGCTAGCAGGTGCCGTGGCTTACGGATACAGTAACATTTTTGTGACTGCACCGACTCCTGAAAACCTCAAGACCATGTTTGACTTTGTATTTAAAGGTTTCGATGCACTTAAGTACAAGGAACATTTAGACTACGAAGTTGTGCAAAGTACCAACCCAGAGTTTAATCATGCTGTGGTTCGTGTGAACATATTTCGCGAGCACCGTCAGACTATCCAGTACATACAGCCCACGCACCATGAGAAGCTGGCTCAGGCTGAGCTTATAGCTATCGATGAGGCTGCTGCAATTCCGCTTCCCGTTGTCAAGAAGCTACTTGGACCCTACCTTGTCTTCATGTCATCGACTATTAATGGCTACGAGGGCACCGGACGCTCGCTATCTCTCAAACTTTTGCAGAAACTTCGTGAACAGCAGGGTAGCGCTAAAGAGGCTGCCGCGCAGGCTGCGGCGAGCATTCACGGCGATCAAAAGCGGCGAAAGGGTGATCAGAAACTGCACGAAGAGCGCTGGCAGGCAGCTAGCAATGCCGCCCATGCTGCTGTTGCTGGCAGTGCTTCATCTTCGACGCGCGTACTCCGTGAAGTGATTTTGGAAACCCCGATTCGTTACGCACCTAACGACCCTGTGGAACGCTGGCTGAATGCATTGTTGTGTCTAGACTCGACAAGTGCGTCGCATCGTCTTGTGGCAGGAACGCCTCACCCGCGTGATTGCGAGTTGTATTATGTGAACCGTGACTCTCTATTCTCGTACCATAAGCTGTCTGAAGGCTTCCTGCAGCGTCTTATGGCTCTGTATGTGTCATCGCACTACAAGAATCAGCCGAACGACTTGCAACTGCTATCTGATGCTCCAGCCCACCATCTGTTCGCTCTGCTCGGCCCAGGGGCTGAGGCACAGGGAAATGCCGGCCAGCTTCCTGACGTTCTCTGCGTTGTGCAAGTAGCTTTAGAAGGCGAGATTTCCAAGGCGTCGGTGAACGCTCAGCTTGCGCGTGGCCAGCGTGCTTCGGGTGACCTTATTCCATGGACAGTGGCACAGCAGTTCCAGGACTCAGAGTTTGCAGCCCTATCAGGAGCTCGTGTGGTACGCATTGCAACTCACCCAGACGTGACTGGCATGGGTTATGGCTCTCGCGCTCTTGAATTGCTGATAAGTTATTACCAAGGTGAAATTACTAGTGATGTCATCGATCCAGACTATGAGAAGGAGAAAGACAAGAAGAAAATAGAGAGCGATGACAACCGCGATGATGACGATGAGGAAGCTAAAAAGACAAAGCTTCGCAAAGAAAAGATCAGGCCACGTAAGACGCTTCCACCCCTACTGCTTCCGCTTGAAGAGCGTCCTTGTGAGCGTTTGCACTGGTTTGGTTCATCTTTCGGGTTGACTTTGCCGCTATACAACTTTTGGTCTCGTGCCAAATTGCTTCCAGTGTATATCCGACAAACGGCCAACGAACTCACAGGCGAGCACACGGCAATAATGCTGCGCTCGCTTCGTTGTGACGACTTACCTGCTTCCCCTGCTGATGGTTGGCTGGATGAATTCGTGGCTGATTTTCGACGCCGTTTTACGTCATTGCTGAGCTATGATTTTTCAACTTTTCCTTGCGCCCTTGCGCTTGGTTTGTTGGGCGACAAACCAGTCAATTCGACTTCCGCTTCGAATGAGAAGGAACACCACCTTTCTTTGCACCGCAGCGCCACTGGGGAGATCAATCCCGCCGAATTGGCAATGGTCTTGACTCCATATGACGCCAAGCGTCTCAAATCTTACGCAAAGAACATGGTTGACTACCACATGATTGTAGACTTAATTCCTTCGCTCGCGCGCATGTACTTTCTCCAGCGTCTGCCCCAGATGTCGCTGTCGTACCTGCAACGTGCGATCTTGGTAAGTCTAGGACTGCAACACCAGTCGGTGGACACGATCCAGCAGGAATTAAATGTGCCGTCTAACCAGCTTCTGGCGCTATTCAACAAAGCAGTACGAAAATTTCTTGGTCAGGTAGAGAAGCTTATGGAAGAGCAGCTTGAAGCTGAAGCTGTCAGCAGCAACAAGATAGCGCAGGTGGCAGTGCAAGCGCAGGCCATGATTCCTACTGAGACATCACTGGATGAGGAGATGCGTGAAGGTGCTCAGGCAGAAACAGCTAAGCAGCAGCAGCTTTTAGGCAGCCTAAATCTGATGAAGTATGCTGTGCGTGGTGACGAGGCTGATTGGGACGCAGCGTTAGCCAAAACTGAAAATGTTGGCTCCGTCGTTCAGGTTCTAAGGCAGAGCAAGGTGAAAAAGGATTTGACCGAGTCTAAGAATATAAAAAAGGAACAGAAGCAAAACAAGCGTCTGGCCGTGGGGGAAAGCAGCCTTAAGAAGAGTAAAAAAGGCAGGAAGGGTAAATGAGTTTGGTTCAGATAGATTTTGTATACAAGTGACGCTGCTTAGATGTAGCCGAATTTGTTACTAACTTACTGTTCGTGAGGCAATAATTACTCTTGGAGTAAGCGGATTGCGATCCGCTAACTCATACTTGATTCTTGTAAAGAACGAAAGGTCGGTGACCTAAAGTACGTTCTACGGCAGCCCCGCTGCAGCTTTAGCTTTAGGACGTCATATTGCTTACAATTTACACGCGATGTTTTTGATGTGGCCGGTGTATTCGGCTCAAGCGCCTTGCGATCTATACAGAACATGCCTTGCTGCATACAGCAGTAAGGACTACTCATTGACGCTGTAAGCCACATCAAGCAGCTCAACACAAACAAAAATATATTCAGTATAAGTTTACATTAATTTTATCTGATTACACGCCACTATTATACTAGGAGAACAGACAAAGTTTTAGCTACTCAAATAGCTCTGCTGTATATATTGTGCGACAATTTATCAGATGCACACTCTCTGAGTCAAAGCTTTATCTAGAGGTGCACGGCAAACCCGTTGCAATTGAAACGCTGGTTCTCACCCAGCAGATCCGATCTCGAGTCCTGGTATTAATTTATTATGCTCTTGCTAATTCCTTTGTTCTACATATTTTAGTTTCGCCTGTCAAGAGATGGAGGTAAAAGAGCAAAAGAAGTCGCGCGACAATCAATGGATGCACGTCGCTGCTTTTGTAAATACTATGAGCGTATCCAAGTGGAGCGAGGATGCATTAAGGATGAGCTGCATAATTGAGGTCTTTGTGGGGCTATGATACTGTTTTTACTCAGCTAATCAGTCAAATTTGGAGTAAGAACGTGCAAAACTTTATCGCTTATATAATTTAGAGCAGAATTACAAAATGTTTAGCTAATGAACGGAAGTGTTTTCCCAAGGCTAATCGACTCTTTGGTTTAAATTCCAAACTGATTTTCATTTATTTTTTATCCTGATTTTAACGTTTAGATTTTTCTAAATATACTAAATAAATATAGCAAAATCTAAATAAATGCATAACTACTGGCTACCTAGCCCCGTACCGTATTCTTGTTTGGGTGTGTACACACCTTGCACATCTCATGTGGCACACACCCCTGTTATTAGGGTTCGTGTAACCCCGTTACGCCCTCCCCCATTAAGATATTTACAGTTCCAATCGATTATTGCCTCAAGGAGGCTCGCGTGTCCGTTAGACACTGCAACTCAAGTTTAACAACTTCCTTGCTCAATGAGCCTGTGTCCACGACACGAAAATCATCAAGTCTCGCTGTTTCTGACAGCGAGCACGGGCAAAGCCCAACTTCGTCCCCCGCACACAGTGCGATCTTGGACATTGCGTCCGCGGCACCGGGGGATGTATACCCTAGGCTTGATGAGCACAAGCGTCGCGCTCCGCGCACGCTTTCAGTGCTGAGTGGCCTCGTTGAGGATGTGGTCGACTATGAGTCTGACATTCATTTCCCGCATGGGATGACGAGGAAGGCGAGCTGAACCAGCAGCATGATACGAGCCCTGCTCGCGCCGTGCGGACCCCATGTCCGTTCCCTGACCTCTCGTCAACTAAGAAACGTGGTGTTATCACCAATGACCTCGACGGGGAACAGAGGCGGCAGCTTGAAGCTGCCCATAAGGCGGCTCTGAAGATCGCCCATCCACGGTCGGTCATTGACCCTCGTGTGGAATATGGCTTCCGCCCTGCCGATACCGCTTTGGAAGCGAAGGACGCGGTAACTCGATCGTTACGCGTCCACATCATCGGCCCTGGCTAGAACGGATGATGAACTTACCACACGGAAAGCTCTTCGAGCTCGTTTCTTGGTCCCACAAGAAATTTCGGTGGAAGCTTATCGCACTCGTCGAAGTGCTCAACGAGGTGGCTCTCATGTACCCGCCATGCGGACAATACCTGTAGTGCACGCCCCTGGCGAAAGCACTACAGATGATGATGCGCTCTTTGAGCGATGGGTTCAACGGCACCGATAACTTTCCTCACTGCATAATCTGCAGTTGAGCCACAAAGAAGTGGACGTGCGTGTGAAGCGACACCCCCGCTTTGAGATTGCCAAACTCAAGGCACGCCGTCGACTTCCTTTGGATTGTCGCCCTGCGACGTATGGGTTAACAACCCCTAATGCTCCTGCGAGCTCTGTGTCGACCGCAAGAGCTCAGGACCACTGCTTGAGCTCAGCTCATGGCCCGTCGACTTCCCTGGCTATTGCCGGAAAGCGCGGGGCTTCTGATGATGCGATACGTCCTGATCTTTCCGATAAGAAGCGTCCCCGGCGACTGAGAAATCTTGCCGAAGTGGCGCCTCAAACTCCCACGAGTTTTCGGGGTCGGGGTATCCCCACCACTTCACCAGATATTGGGTTTGACCCTGGTGATGACGTCGTCCAACAAGATGTTCCACGTGATAGTGGACGTCACCGTTCTCATCGAGAAGAGTCGGTGGCGGGC